CCCCCTCAGAAAGTCTAGCCACAGACTCTATAAACATGGGCCACATATTGAAATGTCTTGTGCTGATCAGAAGGACAACCTCACCTATTGTAGATCAAAGTATTTCTCACCAGCACACCGACCTCCACATCGAGAGCAGACCTTTTGTTCCATCCACAATGCAGAAAACCAGGTTTTGGGGCTGCGTAGGACCCCTCTATAGTCTATAATATAAAGTTGGTTTCCTGCAGTGTTGCCCTTGATGATGCAATATGCATTGTGATATAAGGCCGGTGCACGGGTGAGAAATCATTAGACTTTCTTCTAACCTATTCCAACGTTCCTCCTCCCAAAATCGGTCGGTCATCAGGAGTCTGCTCACCACCATAGACATCTCCTGACTCAGCAGGAAAATGGAGCAGATGATAGTTTCCCCTTATGGAGCAGATGATAGTTTCCCCTTATGGAGCAGATGATAGTTTCCCCTTATGGAGCAGATGATAGTTTCCCCTTATGGAGCAGATGATAGTTTCCCGTTATGGAGCAGATGATAGTTTGCCCTTCTATTGCTAATTCTTCCGCTACAAAGGTTTCAGATATACGGTGTCACTGCGCGTGCTGCTTCCTGCAGTTCTATGGGCAATGTAATTGCATTGGGGTTCATGTTCTATGTTTTTCTATTGCTGTGGCGCCACCCTGTGGTCATTGTATTAATTGCAGTCATTTTCTGCATATCTGCCCCTGTGTATTATTATTATTATTATTATTATTATTATTATACTGGATTTATATGGCGCCAACAATTTGCTCAGCGCTTTACAAAATAGTGGAGACAGTATAGTTACAATGATGCAATATCCTCCTTCCTCATTGTAGGTTCTTCCTGAAAGACACACACTGAGGTGAGGAAGGAACTATTCCTTCTGATCACTACAAATGCCAACAGCTACTGAATCGTATTGTTTGCTGAAACCCTTCTGCATGCAATAAAGATATTTGTGGGTGCCAAGTACTTGGGGTGTTCAGCTATCTCCAGTGGTTGTCTCTGCCCCATTCAGGCCAGTCATAGAGAGAAGTGATAAAACTTACCTGTAACAGTTGTTGTGGAACTTGTTGTAGGAAGCCATAGTGATAAGTCCCCCCCATGCACATCCCAGGGAGTAGAATATCTGAGAAGCAGCATCACCCCAAACCTGCCGGAGGACACACAACAAAACACGTATAAATCCTCCTCATTATATGTGCGGGAACACGTTACATGTCTTATTTATTTCATACATTTATATACCGCCGTCAGTTTGATATATTTACCATTCACACCCGTCCCTGCCCAAGGAGCTTACAATCTAAGGTCCCAATCTCACATACTAGGGCCAATTTGGACTCGAAGCCATTTAATCTATCAGCATGTAAGCAGAGAGAGAACACGCAAACCTCCGTGCACATAGAGTCTTGGCCAAGATTTGAACAGCTGACCCGGGTGACCCGGAAGTGCTAACCACTGAGCCACACGTACATACACTGATAACAAGGCACTGAGTACTGACTATTGGTAAGTGTCAGTGATCACCTGGGAAAGAATTGCACATGTAATCAATGTTATGAAGCCTTCATAGTCACTACACAGATAATATCCCTACAGACAGCGCTGTACCATCCAAACCTGAGACTCCAATTCAAGCAAAATAAAAAAAACTTGACAACAGGGCAACGTGTGACACAGAGAATGCACTCAGATCATCCCTGGCTGAGCCTCAGTGTGCGCGATGTCCGACTCTCACCGCCGGCGTCTCCGTGTCTGAAGTTTAATGTGCTTATTGTGATTCGGCCACTAGATGGCGACATTGTCCGGAGTTATAATATTGCACCGGCGGTTGGCAACTTGCAGGGTGTTGAAGGGTCTGTGCCCCCC